ATTTTATCATATTAGGTAACTGCATCACATCATATCAAAGTTTAGAAATGTTTGACTTATTTACAATTCAATCTTATTTCTCCTTAAATTAATACCGGCTTTAAATCAAATCAAATCAATTTCACTTAATTGGAGAATTGATACGGGCTTTAAATCAAATCAATTCCACTTAAGTTTTCTAATATTTAACATCATAAAATTGTATACATAAATATGTCATATGTTGGGTAAAAAAAAATAGTCAGTATTTACTTACACAATGTTTATACTGAATTGACATCATAATCTTATAGTACATAAATCAATTCATAGTATCATGTGTAGTATAATTTATAACATAATGTATCATTTACTTCTACGGGCAATGATTACTGGGTGAATGCATCATTTTCAAGCATTGATGATGTGTACACATTATATTGTAAATACGCACCTAGTCGAGGGTTGCAAAAGAAAAGTCAAAAAAACTTATCCCAACAAGTGCAATACGTACATCCACTTTGTTGCAATAAAGACTAGAGGCAAACAATGGAAGGAGGGAAAGACGGTGGCAGCATGGCTGGGAATCGTGTGGGAAGATTTTTGCGCTGACGGAATTAGGGCTCTGGCTGGGAAGATTTTTGCGCTCGGGGTGGGGGGAGGTGTTTGGACCGAGGGTTAATTAAATTAACCTTTTCGTATTATTACCTTAATAAAAATATTGTTAAAATATCATATTCTGACACAGTAAATAGCATATCATATATATTTAGTAAACAAGTATATATTGTTGAATTTGGAAAACTATTGGATTTGTTAAAATATATATATATATATGAAAAATATTTGTTTAAGGAACGTTCTAAAATAAATACATAAAAATATCAGTACAAGGATTTGAATATTGTTTTTTCATAAATAATTTTGTTCATATATTTGATTAATTAATAGATTTTGTATCTAAAAAAAATAAAAAAGTCAAACTTATGAGTCATCATGAACATTTCATGTATTAAAAACGTTGCATCAATTTATGATCATGTGAACATTATTTTAAGGCATCATACATTATTTCTAGATAAAAAAAAAAAAAAGGTTGATTCAATATATTCTAATGCTGCAAATATATATATATATATGTATTTCGTAAATAATTCATATATTTGTTAATTAGGGGAAAAAAAGAGTTAATTTCTATTTAGAGATATGAGAATTAATTATATAAGGAAACGTTTTTTAAAAAATACATAAATAGATCAAGACGACACACGGTGGTTAATGTTTACATACAAAAATTTCGAACATTCTTCAAAATATATTTGCAATAGAGATCCCCACTTCATAAGCAATACTTCCTCGGTATACTAAACTCGTATCACTATTTTATTTTATTTTTTGTCTACTAAATGTATACACAATCTATTAATAATAAATAATTTTATCCCCTCGTATTTTTATTGTTCTTAATTTAAGAAATAATAACTAATTTTTCACTGATTTTTCTGCGGATAAAATATTTTTTTTAGTTCCGTATTTGACTCATTTTATCATTTTAGGACTTTAAATGGAACATGTCTGAAAATAGTCTCGCAAGTAAAATTTTTTCGCTAAAATAGTCCTCCCGTGCCGAACTTGCCACGCAGGCCCGCCTTTGATGCACCTAACATACTATCGCCATGTAGATACCCAGCTGAGAAGGTCAGAGAAACGAATCATCTCGTTTTTGTCTCATAATTTGGAGTCATGTCGATTTTTACTCCAGTAGAGAGTCCTCTCGTTTTCGACTCCGGCGGAGAGTCATCTTGTTTTCGAATCCGGTGGAGAGTCATCTCATATTCGACTCCGGTAGAGAATCATCTCGTTTTCGACTGACATTATTAACAATCTGATTTTTCTGCTTCTTAAGGAGCCGACCTCCGGATAATGTGTGGTGGTTTTTGGTGTGCTTGCTGAAATACTTGAGCTGCTTCAGCTTGGTGCTGCCGGAAATACGCCGCCGCTTCCCCGAACTTCTCCTGCAGATCGAACTCTATCTCCAACTGCTGCTCGCATCACCGGAACTGGACGGTACCGCGGATGACGGTTATCTCCTTTGAAACCAAATAACTCAGGTTGTAGATCATGGTCCGATGGTTCATTGCGGGCTGATATTCAAGTTCCTCTCCTCATCGTCCCTGAGCGCACCCCAAGCCCAATTTTTTTATAATTTTTTTAGTATTAAAAATATTAATTTTTATGTATTTATATACAATTTGCCCATTCTAAACTATCTAAATTCATATATAATTATGTCATTATTTTTTATTTAAATTTATTAGTTAAATATTAAATAAATTATAACATTTTTCCGTCGGGATTTAGATGCTAGTTCTGTCACTGCCGGCGCTCCTCACTGATCTTCCCCGCGCGACGGGAGGACAGGCTGCCGCCGATGCATCTGGAGGAGGAGGTGGTGGCGAGTAACAGAAGGGGAACAAAGAGAGGGTGAGCATATGGCTATCTTGATCAACGGTGGGGATGAAATAGCCGACGGAAATGGGCAAATCTGATATGTTGAAATTGTCCGACTCCATTCTCAATCAAGCAAAAATTAAATAAGACGCGGATTGGTCGAAGAACATAAGAATCAGGTTGTGTAACAAAAGTTCCGATCGAAATTCGTCGGCTCTTCCTCTTTCACAGCTGGGTAGTAGGTCTGGAAATAAAAACACGGGCATGTTCTCCAGAATACGCTATTGTTGGATCCGAATCACCTACCCAAGAGCAAAATTGATGAATAAGTTTTTTAACGGAATTAGTTTTGATAAATATTTTTGAATGATACTAAAAATGAAAAAAAAAAAAAGATTTTAATGGGACTACTTTTGGTTTTTGCTCCAAATTAATATGTTAGAAATAAAATAATACTCCCTTGATAGTTGGAAATCTCATGCGTTTTATATTCATATCATATGCGATATTTGAGTGATTTTGATTGGATTCTACCTAATTTATATGCGAATTGTTTATTTGTTGTGTTCAGAGGACAAATATCAAATTTGGCATAATTGGCAGAAAAGGGAAGAAAAATTCAGATTTGCACAACCTAGTTAGTCATGATCATGACTAACTACACCCTATTGATATGAGAAATTAATTAAAGGTCCAAAAGCCCATCTACAAAATAATTAGGGCAAAATTAAATAAAAGAGGGGGGAACACACGTCTATTAGGAAGGGAGAACGGCTAGGGCAGAAACGCACAGGAACAGGAGACTGACAGATCCATAGATCGCGCAGGAGCAAATCGACAGAGAAGATTTCCCCCTCCCACTGTGACTTTATCTTTCTCTTTTGTTCTTTGTTATTTGATTATGGAGTAGATACTTTTCTGGTTTGAGGGGTGATAACGTTTTGGTTCTTTTGTTTTGGAGATTCTTGATTTTCTTTATAAAAGTTCTTTTTGATTATCAATATTTGTCTAATTCTGAGAATAGCGTTTGTGATTGTTAGATTGATTGAATATTTTGGTACCGATGTTTAAATTAGTCTGATAATCTTAGTCAATTCAAGCAGGATATCTGTAATTGTATTCGCACTTGAATAGGTGACAATCGGGTTGAATAGTTCCTTCCCGGGGGTTAGACAATCAAATCTAATTGCTCTTCTTAGGTGGTAATTGTTTTGAATTGGGTTTTTCTAGATTGGAATGCGGTTAGACAATATTCTTATGGGCGCACCTAGGTTTATTTGCTTAATTTGGGGTAGTTAACGGTCGTACCTTAATTACCTACACTGTAAGGAAAAATTGGTTGTCAGAGCTTGTTGATAACTATAACCAATTTATTGATACTTTAATAAGAATTAATTTTATTGAATTAATGATAAAACACAAGTGCCATAACTGCATCATCCCTAGAGCCAGACATCCCCTTGATAGTCAGTTCCTTTTAATTTAATTGCTTTGTTATTTTATTTTAATTAGATAATAAAAGAAAATCCCCCCTTTATTTACTGCATTATAATACGAAAGAGTGAATCACACAATCCCTGTGGAGACGATCCCTTCCCCTATATTACATTAAATTGTGATCACGGAGTAGGTGAAATATTTGATTGACCGCGCGACAGGTCAATTTTTGGCGCCGTTGCCGGGGATTGGCGTTTTGTTTTACTCTTTGTGTTATTTTAATTTATCCTCTTGTTTATGCCCCGTTCTTCTCGTACAGGTGAACTGATATTTAATCTTGAGATCGAGAAGGTTGAGCGAAAGCTACGAAAGGAAGCCAAGCAACGAAAAGCTGCTCAGGTTGCGAAGCTGGCAGAATCTTTAAACCACCTCAAAATCTCTAGCTCTAGCGACTCTGAAAGTGATCAAGAGACTGTCATGGCTGAGGATACCCGCACTTTAAGGGAGTTGGCTGCTCATGACTTGGCGCAACAGCCCTTATGCATTAACTTTCCAACACTCAATAACACTGTTGCTTTTGAACTGAAATCTGGATTAATTCATTTATTGCCTTCTTTTCATGGACTTGCAGGTGAAGAATCTCATAAACACTTGCAAGAGTTCGACGTGGTGTGCTCCACCATGAAACCACCAGGTGTTACTGACGAACAGATCAAACTCAGAGCCTTCCCATTCTCACTCAAAGATGCTGCAAAGGATTGGCTCTACTATCTCCCACCTGGAAGCATCGACACGTGGAACGACATGAAGAAGAAATTTTTGGAGAAGTACTTTCCAGCTTCCAGAGCTGTGATCCTGAGGAAGGAGATATGTGGCATCAAGCAACAATCAGGTGAAACGCTCCATGAATATTGGGAGCGATTTAATAAGCTTATCATTAAATGTCCACAACATCAAATTCCCCCTAATTATTGATTCAATACTTTTATGATAGTTTGTCGTTGATGGACAGGAACATTATCGATACTGCAAGTGGTGGAGCTTTAGTAAATAAGACGCCGGCACAAGCTTGGGATCTTATTGCGAGGATGGCTGAAAATACGCAGTAATTTGGTTCAAGAGATGTTGGACATATGAGTGGAAACAACAACGACCATGCAATCCAATCAATGCAGCAACAACTTTCTGAGTTGATGAGCTTCGTTCGCAAGATGGTCGTGGAAAAATCCAACCCGAGTGTCCAGGTCAAGGCGTGTGGAATATGCACGAGTACAGGACACCCTACAGATGCATGTCCGACCCTTCAAGAAGAATGTGCAGTGGATGTGAACGCTGCAAACTACGGTATGAATAGACCTTCAGCGTACAATCCATACTCCAACACCTACAATCCAGGCTGGAGAGATCATCCAAACCTGTGCTATGGAAACGCACACCAGAATCATGGTCCTCAACCATTTGGAGCCACACATCAGATGCAACAGCCTCGCCCTTACGAGAAACAGCTCCCCCAAGCACCCACAAGCAACTCCAGTCCGTCCTTGGAAGACTTGGTGAAGTCTATGGCTACCAGTACCCTGCAATTCCAGCAAGAGATGAAATCAACTGTCGACAAGCTACAAAGTCAGATTAGCCAAGTTTCCGAAGAGGTAAAACAGCTACGAGAAAGAGGAAAGTGGCCTGCACAACCAGAAAATCCGAAGAACATCAGTGCCATAACTCTTCGCAGCGGAAAGGAATTGGAAGGTCCACCTCCTATCTCAAAGGAACAAAATGAGGATCAGATTGAGATGAAGATTGAAAAAGAAGCTGAACTTCACGAAAAGGTACTTCCTGACTCCGTTCCTCCTACTGAAACTAAATCAGCTCCTTTTCCTGACAGGTTGAAGAAACCAAAAAAGGCAAACAAACGAAAAGAGATGATGGAAATATTCAAGAAGGTAGAACTTAATATCCCGCTCCTGGACGCTATCAACCAAATCCCCAAGTACGCAAAGTTTTTGAAAGAAATGTGCACTAACAAAAGGAAATTGCGAGGGGATGAGCATATTACAGCGGGTGAGAACGTTTCTGCTGTTCTCAAAAGAAAGGTACCACCCAAAACAGGTGATCCAGGTATGTTTTCTATCCCTTGTAGGATTGGAAAAACTGAGATAACTAAGGCTATGCTAGATTTAGGAGCTGCTATTAATGTCATGCCACGATCAATATACGACTCTTTAAATCTAGGGCCTTTAAAAGAAACAGGAATTAATATTCAACTTGCTGATCGAACCAATGCTTACCCTGATGGTATGATAAAAGATGTGCTAGTTCAAGTTAATGACTTAATTTTTCCTGTTGATTTTTATATTATGGATATGCATGATGCACACTGCTTTAATCCACCGCCTCTTTTGCTAGGAAGACCTTTTATGTGCACTGCAGGAGCAAAAATTGATCTACGGAAGGGCACTCTCGCTTTGGAATTTGATGGAGAAGAAGTCCATTTCAATATTTTTGGTGCTGTAAAACATCTTATTGATTCTGAAACATTATATGCAATTGATATCATTGATCCCTTGGTGCAGGACGCATTTGGATTAAGTGGTTCCGACAAATTGAAGATCGTGTTAATGGAACATCTGGAGAAAGAACATGGGAGAGAGATAGCCGTAGACAAGAGAATAAGAAAAGTTCTCAAGGAGGTTAACTCAACTCCAAGAGTGTCACCAAGGTATGAATTAGCTCCAATATTCTTACATGAGTCTAATCAATGTTTATTACCATCTTTGATGCAAGCACCTGAATTGGAATTGAAGCCTTTACCTGAAACTCTAAAGTACGCTATTTGGGAGAGAAGAAGACTCTACCGGTGATCATCTCTGCAAAATTGACACCAGAACAAGAAGAGAAATTGATTAAGGTTCTAAAAGATCACAAGACCGCCATTGGATGGACGATCGCTGACATAAAAGGTATTGATCCCTCGTTGTGTACTTATAGGATCACACTCGAGGAGGATTCAAAACCAGTGAGACAAGCTTAAAGGAAGTTGAACCCGATTATGACTGAGGTAGTCAAGAAAGAAGTGTTAAAGCTTCTCGAAGTTGGTATCATCTACCCTATCTCCGATAGTAGGTGGGTGAGTCCGGTTCAAGTGGTTCCTAAGAAAGCTGGAGTAACGGTGGAAGAGACTCGAGAAGGAGAAAAGCTCCCGGTTCGAAAACAAACTGGATGGCGCCAATGCATAGATTACCATAAGCTGAATGCGGTAACAAAAAAGGATCATTTTCCTCTCCCTTATATTGATCAAATGATTGAACGACTCGCTGGTCGCGCATATTACTGCTTTTTAGATGTATTTTCAGGTTATTTTCAGATAGCGATAGCACCCGAGGATCGGGAGAAAACATCATTCACTTGTCCGTTTGGAGTTTTCGCCTACAGAATGATGCCTTTTGGTTTGTGTAATGCCCCTGCTACATTCCAAAGATGTATGGTAAGTATTTTCTCTGAGTATATTGAGCGAATCATTGAAGTTTTTATGGATGACTTTAGTGTATATGGCTCTAGTTTTGGTAATTGTCTAGGTAATTTGACTTTAATCTTGAAACAATGCATCGAAACTAACCTTTTGCTCAATTGGGAGAAATGTCAACTGATGGTTCAGCAAGGTATTGTTTTAGGCCATAAGGTGTCACATGAGGGTATAGAAGTAGATAAATCTAAAGTTGAGCTAATCACTACTTTACCTTACCCTACTTATGTGCGAGAGCTACGTGGTTTTTTAGGACATGCAGGTTTCTACCGACGCTTCATCAAGGACTTCTCCAAGATCGGAGCACCATTGTTTCACCTCCTGCAGAAAGATGTAGCATTTGAGTTCAATGACGATTGCAAGAAGGCATTTGGAGCACTGAAAGAGCGCCTCACAACACCACCGATTAGTCAACCTCCGAATTGGGACTTGCCATTCGAGTTGATGTGTGACGCAAGCGATAATTCAGTGGGAGCCGTTCTAGGGCAACGAGTTGGGAGAGCTTCTCATGTCATCTACTATGCTTCACGAGCACTGAATGACGCTCAATTAAATTACTCCACCACGGAGAAAGAGATGTTTGTTATCGTTTTTGCTCTTGATAAATTTAGATCTTATCTTTTAGGCACTAAAGTGTTTGTGTACTCTGACCATGCAGCTCTGCGTTACTTGATGGCAAAGAAGGAAGCCAAACCTCAATTAATTCGATGGGTACTCCTTCTGCAAGAGTTCGACATAGAGATTCGCGACAAGAAAGGAACTGAAAATTTGGTAGCTGACCACTTGAGTCGTATACCTGTGGAGTCAGATGCAGTTCCTGTTCGAGAGTCGTTTCGTGACGAATAGCTTCTCTTTATTGCGACTACACACCCTTGGTATGTTGATATTGTTAATTACTTAGTCCCTAACGAGTTTCCTGCAGGTTGGGCAAAGACAAAAAGGGATAAGCTCCGCAGTGATGCAAAAGAAAATAAAAGAATTTAATTGCAGGTTGGCCAGACATCCCCTTGATAGTCAGTTCCCTTTAATTTAATTGCTTTGTTATTTTTTTTTAATTAGATAATAAAAGAAAATCACCCCTTTATTTACTGCATTAGAATACGAAAGAGTGAATCACACAATCCCTGTGGAGACGATCCCTTCCCCTATATTACATTAAATTGTGATCACGGAGTAGGTGAAATATTTGATTGACCGCGCGACAGGTCATCCCTCCGTCCTAATACAATAGTCTTGTTTATCATTTTTGTATGTTCCCAAACAATAATCTTATTTCTATAAATAACCATATCACCATAAAACTACCCCTACTTTTTTATTTTTATTACACAATTGTCACTACTTTTTACACTAATACACTCACAAGGGGAAAAAAAATCTTTTATCTATACTTTCTACCAACTACCAATATAATATCAATATTTCTTAAATCTTGTGTCCAACCCAATTAAGACTATATTATGGGAAGGAGGGAGTATAAAAAAGTTAATGTTGTTACACATTCAAGATCAATATGTCATATATATACAAGAAACACATGAATTAAACCAAAGAACTTAAAGAATCTTTTATTAAACGAAAGCAAATGCTCGGACTCAGGTTACCCAATCTAAAATCGATCCTAACACCCACTGTAATGCACAATAACAACCCAAACACAACCGACATCCACGGAAACGCAACAAACATGCGAACCAGACCACGATCTAACGAAAACACAAACGATTTAAGCCTAACCCTTCCCTAACAGACAATATATTCAATACACTGTAAAGGAATGCTCAAAATCGTAAATCGAACCGAGGAACAGCCTCAGCACAAGGATGTTTATCAAATAGCCCAGTCGAACCAGTCGAATCGCCGGACAGATCACCGGAGAAACCCAAGGAAGATCGCTGGAGTCGCCGTCGCGATTAAGGCTTTTGGGAGAGAAGAATCGCTGGAGTCGGGGAGAGAGAAAATATGAGAGTGTGAGGGAGAGTCTGTATGTATGTATCAAACCGGGCCCCCTCCCCTCTGCCCCTTTATATATAAGTCACAGAACCGGACCGGGTTCGGTTCAGCTGTGGACCGCCGGTTTCACAGAAGACCGGATCTGGTTCGGGTTACTGGATCCGGGTTTCAGGCTGTGCGGGTTTGTGCATTACCGGCCTCACTTGTCATTGGCCAAAAATAACTCCACAATCTCCACCTTTTTGGGCATGGAGAAAGTGGCACATCATGGGTGTCATCACGGTCCGAGCAATGATAGCTTTCAATCTTTCAACCTGCGGACTTACCTACCAAGATTAGAATTCTCAAACGAACAAAAAAAATTTTCATTCCAACATAAAAAAAAAACAGAAACAGTGCTGAAAAAAAAAAACAGAATTTAAAAAAAAATTAAATTACAGTTTTAAAAAACCAAATTCTAATCAAAAGTATCAATATACACCATTTTCTTACACAAGTTAAATTTAGAAAATGACAAAACTTTAGTCCCCATGTCCGCAGGGTTATATTCGGTTGGAACTTTTTTTCAAGTTTCAAAAGCCCTTTTGACACAATATCGCGTATAAAATGAAACCTAACATCTATATGTTTAGTTCGGTCATGAAAAACATGGTTTTTACAAAGTTGGATCCCCGATTGACTATCTGAAAAAACAGTTACAACATTTTCCAAATATCCAATTTCACTTAACAGGCCTTTCAACCATAAAGCTTCTTTTAATGCTTCCGTTATAGCCACATATTCAGATTCGGTTGTAGAAAGAGCAACTATATGTTGGAGTTGAGACTTCCAACTAACACATGAACCACATAGTGTAAAAATATAAGATGTAGTTGACTTCCTAGAATCTTTATCATTAGCATAAGTGGAATCCACATACCCATTTAGTTTAATCTCACTTATGTGTTTACCAAAAACTAAACCAACGTCAATAGTACCAACCAAATACCTAAACACACATTTTAAAGCATTCCAATGTTCCACGCCCGGATTAGCCATATAACGACTCAAACAACTAATGACATATGCTAAATCGGGTCTAGTACACACCATTAGGTACATGATTGAGCCTATGGCATTAGAGTAAGGAACATTTTTCATGTAAATCGCATCACTTTCAGATTTTGGACATTGATCTTTAGTTAAAATGAAATTAGATGCTAAAGGGACTGTTGAGCATTTTGCATCACACATTGCAGAATTTTCTTAACATAAGAAGATTGGTTAAGAAACAGCATATTCTCTCTTCTATTCCTCACTATATTCATGCCAAGTATTACTTTTGCATCCCCTAACTATTTCATATCAAATTTCTTGCTTAAACAATCTTTCACATGATTTATTGACTCCAAACAAGGACCCATCAACAACATATCATCAACATACATCAGTAAGAATGTAGGATGTTTACATTGTATCTTAAAATATAAGCAATGGTCAAAGTTACTTCTAATGAATTTCATAGATCTCATGCATTCATCAAATTTTAAGTTCCATTGCCTAGGGGACTGTTTTAATCCATAGAGTGATTTCTTTATAAGACAAACATGATTTGTTTTATTTTTATCAAGATAACCTTCCGGTTGTTTCATGTATATCTTCTCAACTAAATCACCATGTAAAAATGCTGTTTTTACATCTAATTGTATCAATTCTCAATCAAAATAAGCAACCAAAGTAAGCATGCATCTTATAGTGGAATATTTAACAACCGGCGCAAATAACTCATTGTAATCTATACCTTCCTTTTGAGTATATCCCTTAGCAACTAATCTAGCTTTAAATCTAACTCCATTTTCATCTTGTTTGACTATATACAACCATTTACATTCAATTACAGAATGGTTAGGCAATCTTTGCACCAAATTCTAGGTATTATTATCATTTAGAGATTTTATCTCTTCATTCATAGCCTTAACCCATTCATTTCTATGTTTTGAATTTATTGCCTCATAGTATGACTTTGGTTCATTCCCATTTAATGACTCAAACACATTATGAACAAGTGAAGTAACATCAAAGTCATTTAATCTAGATGGAAGCCTTATATTTCGCCTACTTCTATCCCTAGTTAGTTGATAATTCTCAAGATTATAAGGTTCAATATCAGCAAAATCAGAAATAGAAACTTCACTTAAATTTCCAGGGCTGATGCCTGGTCCAAATTCAACATCTTTTGTGCTGTAATCTGGATCAGCACTGGCTGGATCAAAAACAACCACATTTGGAGCCAAGTTCTCACTTAATTCAGCCTCTTCCTCGGCTGAATTAGAATAAGTTTGCTCCACCTCACTTAGAGTATTATTTGAGTTACTTATCACTGAATTTTCATCAATTATGGACTAA